AGATTTTGGTGAAGCTGGATTTCTCAAACGCGTTCAACAACATTTCCCGCCAGGCTATGCTGGCTGCAGTGACCTTTCACTTCCCTGGCCTTGCTCGCTGGGTGGCGTGGTGTTACCATGCACCAACTCGCCTCTGCTTTGGGGAGCGCACTGCCATCCCCTCGGCCGCAGGCGTCCAGCAGGGCGACCCCTTGGGCCCGCTGCTGTTTGCAGCTGCATTGCAGCCTCTGGCTCAGGAACTGCGTGCAGGGCCGCTTGACTTGGCTCTTTTCTACCTAGACGATGGTGTTTTGGACGGAGACATTGCGCATGTGGTTGCGGCTTTGGCTCACTTACAGCAAAGAGGCGCTCAGCTCGGCTTGCATCTCAACCTTGCCAAGTGTGAAGTTGTGGCTGTGGTGCAATCCCCTGATGGTTCAAGCCGTGTCCAGCGCGACTTCGAGCTCTTGGGCGCCGCCATTGGAGCTGAAGGTTTTGTGGCGGCCCACACAGCGGCTCGAGCTACTGCCGCGGAGCCCCTCTTGAATGCCATCGCGGACCTCGAGGATCCGCAGGTGGGGCTGCGCCTGCTCCGCGCTTGTGCAGGGCACTGCCGCATGGTCCATAGCATGCGGTGCTCGCCGCCTTCTGCCCAAGGGCAGGCACTGCAGGCCTTTGATTCACTGGTCCGGGCTTGCTTCGCGGGCCTGACGGGCTTGCACCTCGATGAGGCACAGTGGGCGCAGGCTAGCAGAGGCCTTTCTCAGGCTGGCCTGGGGCTGCGTGCCACTGCAGTGGATGCGCCTGCTGCTTACCTAGCCTCTCTGGGTGGCTGCGCAACTGCCTGCCGTGAGCTTGACCCGCAGTATGGCGCTGCTGGACTTGCTGACCAGCCACATGCGCAACAAGCCGCGGCAGCCACGCCCTCGCAGCATGGGCAGAAAATATCTGCCGTGGCGTCAGCCACGCCCAGTCGCTGGCGCAGCTCCATGGTGAAAGCAGCAGCCTCCATGCGCTTGCGCCTGGCTGGCACAGCAGCCAACCAAGCACGCGCCCCTGCTTCAGCCTCCGAGCGCAACAGGGCACGGCCCACGACTGACGCGCTGGCCAGCTGCTGGTGCCACCCTGCATTGTCCAGCCGAGTTGTCAGGGCCTTCTGCTTCATGCCAAGCAACAGGTGCGTGGCCACAGGTTGCTGCAGTTTGCTGGCGGAGAGCGCAACCAGCGCCACAACTCCCTCCGGGATCTGCTGGCAAGCTGGGCGGCGCGGGCAGGGCTGCAGCCCGAGCTTGAAAAGCCGGGCCTGCTGCTCCCACAACGCCCTGAGGATGCTCGAGTTGAGCGCCGTCGCCCTGCGGATGTGTACCTGCCGGCTCTGGCCAGGACTCCTGCTGCCCTTGACCTGGCTGTCACAGCCCCTCAGCGGCAAGAGTCCTTGGCACAGGCTGGCCAGCAGTCCCTGGCAGCGGCCGCTAGCTATGCAGAAGCCAAAGCAGCGCATCTGCAGACAGCTCGCGCCTGTGCAGAGCAGGGCGTGCGCTTCATTCCTCTTGTTGCTGAGGCCACTGGGGCGTGGGATAAGGAGGCATCTAAGACCCTTCTCCTCATCTCGCGGGCGGTGGCGGCAAGGGAGGAAGGGCAGCCAGCCCTCGTACATGCCGAGATGCTTCAAGAGTTCTCTGTCTTGCTCCGCGCCCACCGGGCTCGTGCGATTTTGCGGCGCAGGGCGGAGGCCTTAGCGGCCGGATGATTCCCTGACATGCCGGTTGGGCCCGCATCCGTGTGCTTTGTCACCAGCATTTTTGCATCACTGTCCGGGTCCGGGGAGTCTTGGTTTCTTGGACGCTCTTCGCCTAATTATACTGCCCATGCTGCCTGACAGACCAAGATGTCCTTGGTCCATATGAGCCTCTTCATGTGAGATGGGTGCAGCTGGTGACCTTCTGCTTTTCACTGCCATTCGCTACAGCTTTCTTGCATGTCATTTGCTGCCAGTTTCTGCATTTGCTTTCGGCACACACAATGCATGCGCACGATGGCATGTACATAGTTGCTGATGAGACCCCTCCAAGCCTTTTTGTGGTCACAGCGTTTACTTGGATTTTAATTTGATTTCCGTTGGTTTTGTTGACTCAGGTTTCAATTGGATGTAAATTAGATTTCATCTGGGTTTAAGTTAATTTCAATTCGATTTCAATTGATATAAGATGGAAATTTGAATAGATGTCAACTCGATTTCAATTTGTTTTACTGAGATTGTAGTGGGGTTTCAATCAATTTTAAGTGGATTTCCATTCGTTGTTATTAAACTTAATGAAATGGAAAGAGAATTTTCTTGAGTGTTAACAGGGCTTTCAGAGGCAGCCGTATCTGATGCTTTCAATAAATGCCCGTGATAGGACTTTTTTTCGGGCCCAACTTTTTTCACATTTCAAGGGGGGCATGTCGTTTAATATTAGGGGGGTTACTATGTTGGCGCAAGTGTGAAAATTGCAATCGGTTTTCTGCTTCTTGGTACGTCCGGGCAGGTGAATATCGCCAATGCGCGACTTAGCGACACTAACCAGATTTTGAAGATTTCGCTGCGTTTCTTGATGCAAGCACTGGGCACGGAAAGCCATGCATTTCAGGTTGGTGCACATCGACAACATGAGGGTAGAAATTGCATGCCCTCAAGGCGCTTTTTTTTGCTCTTCAATTCGGTTTCGACATGCTAACCGCCTGCAGGGATCTTCACGCTGGATAGCTTCGGGGATGGTGCTCGGACCAGCAAGCCATTGACAGCAGCGTCTTTCGTAATCAGCGAGCAAACGGACGTGTCAGGACAGGGCGCCAATTTTGATAGGTTGTTGGTAGAATGTTTGCTGCTCTTTGTGAAAGGAGTTCAGTGTAGCGGCGGTTGGGGCCTTTTTTGTTGGATGGTTCGTCGACTTGCACCCGCTGATATTGTCCGAGACCGCCTTCCAACACTGTTGGCCATGTCCTTAGTTTTGTGCTCAAGTGCGAGAAAATGCAGCTAGACCTGTCTGACCGCTCCAAATTGCACAGCTTACTGTTGCATCCAAGGTTTACGTGATGTTGAGTTTCTCAGGCTTGCAGGTCGCATCTGGATGCGACGCAAGCCGGAACTCCTTTGCATTGTTGCCATACGAGGACAAGGACTGTTGCGAGGAGGCATATCTCACCGATCCCAGCGGGTGCTTGATTGGCGGACAATTCAATGGAAGGCCACAGCTGCAGAGTCTTTGCAATGTTTCCGGCTGTGTCACAAGCCCAGCAAAGGACATGGTGATTTGTTGTGCAAGGTTCATACCTGGCCAGACATGGGCTAAAGGTGTCACCTGCAAGTACAATGAGGACTTTGCACCAATCATCTGTGCCTCAAAGCACCTCGCTTGACAGATGTTTTCGCATTACCACCTGCAGGACATCATGGCTTTCCGGGCCACTTGCGCATCAATTCCTGGAAGCTATACAGAATCATCACCAGGAATATGTACAGAGGCCAATGCAGTTTCGTTGCAGAAGATGCTGCCCGGAAGCTTTCACCATGGTGTGATTCGGGAAGGATTGAAACAATTCGGCACAATGGCTTGTAATCCCCTCTCCCTAATAATCAGCCCCCCAATCTCTCCCAACAAGCCTCCCCACCATAGTGACACTATTGACATTACACAAAAAGCATGAGATATATAGGAGGGATACTTGTTTTGAGAGGGGTCATTAGGGGGAGGTGATTACGGGCCTTGATGTCAGGGTCATGTGGCCGCAGGCTGGGGTGCCATGGCGTGCGCCTAACACACCTGGTTTTGACGGAGCAGCCATGAGAGCTGACATCTCCGCAGCTGTGCCCCATCCTCAGACTCAGGCCCACATACCTGCATGCACACATATATACATCAGAAATATATATATATATGTATATATGTATAGATTGTGTACTTACACAGCTTAACGTATATACAATACATACATGAGTGCATGAACTGCAGCAGTGGTGGCGTTGAGGGGTGTGATGTTGCAGACACTTCAAAGAAAACAGGCAAAGACTTTTGCTTGGGGAGCTGGCAATCGTGACCGCCTTGATTGGCCCTGTTTTGGCCATGGTGGGCTTCTGAGCCATCCCAAGTGTTTCTGCGTGACGGTGGGCAGTCTAGTTTGGATTGCTGATGAGTTCCGCCAGCCTGAGGACCAACATGCAAACACAAACAGCATCCCTCACCTCTGGCTTTTGCAGTGGAAATAGATGTGCTCTCCATGACCATTGCGGTGTTTGAGCATCCGAGGCCATGGTTGCAGCAACGTTCTTCCAAGATCCGCAGCAGCGAGAATGGCACACATTGACTCCACGTACTAGATAGCAAAAGGCAGCTGACTGTGCTTGTTGCAAGCCTTCGCCATCACAAAATAGAGTTCATGCAGAAATGAGACCAGCTCTCCGACATCCTTTGACCGCAGCCATATGACATAAGGAAGATTAAGAATAAGCCATGTCGCTTGCCCAGCTACGAGGTACTACCACGAATGGACGAGACCATTGTCCCCAGAAACATGAGGTTGGTGAGCAGCTGAAAGGTGAACAAAGAAAAACGCAAAGATTGCGCGACCGAGCCAACATCTAGTAAGAAAGCAGTAACCACACTCTTAGTAATGATAGTAGCAATACTAATAGTCATAGTGATAACTTTAATGACAAGAATCAACACCGTAGCCTATAGCTTGCTGGATGACTTCTTGTAAGTGAGACCTGTTCGACAAGAAGGTGGGGCTAGATCCGCCATGGCCGACTATACCGTAGCGTTCCAGGGCGAGAGGGGCGCATACAGCTGCTTGACTGTTCTCCCTGCTGGGGGTTAGAAAGGAATAAGGGAACATGTGATTTAGGGATTACATAGGGCTTATATTCCCTTATTCCTTGCTATATGGGGCTTCCATTCCCTTATTGTACTACTATAGAGGGCTTACATTCCCTCCTTCCCCACTATCTGGGGCTTCTATTCCTTGGCTGCACCTAAACCCTAAACCCTAAACCCTAGATCCTAAACCCTAAACCCTAAAAAACCCTAAACCCTAGGCCTTGAGCCTCTTCTTCTAGCAAAGCTTGAGCCTTTGCCAGCAGGTGAACAGGCAGTTTACGAGCTGCTGGGGAGAACAGGCAGCCGGGACTGTTGCTTTCGGCCTTTAGAGGTTTAGGGTTTAGGGCTTCAGGGTTTAGGTTTTAGGGCTTTAGGGTCTACGGTTGAAGTTTCAATGTTCAAGCGGATTCTTCGAGCTGTAGCTAGCTTTGCTTACTAGTAGGGAAAATGGGAATATGTTATATAGGGAGTTTATAGGGACTATATGCCCTTATTCCCTACTAAGAACGAGTAAGTCTAGAGTTGCCTCCTCATTTGTGACCTGCTTGTGGTGCGGCCATCAGCAGGAGTACAATGTGTCGGCTATCCTTCGTTTGATGATGCATTTGCCGTTCCCTGGTTGCAGTGACTGCCTGCTAGTCGAGCGTGGAAGCATCATGCTCATGTGCCGCCTGTGTTGCGTAATTGTTCTCAGGCAGCCGCAGATGGCCTGAAAGCAACATATAATTGGTAAGTTCTGGAACCAATGCAACACAAGCATTCCCTTCGGTGGGAACTGACCTCCTGAAACTTGTGTATTGTTGGGGTCAGAATCTAATCTTTAGCTGACCCGCTGTGTGTCCAGAGCTAGTCCACAGGAACTGAGCATCAAATAAAAACACAAAAGCACACATGGAAATTATCCAGAACAACCCTATGTGTGCACAAATGGAAAACAGTCGAACAAGTTTCACATCAGAGCCCGCCAAGGAGACCAAGTAACATGTGGTAGTTTCCCCAAATAGGGTGGCCCCAATGTAGACTCCAAAATACCAGAGTCCTTACTATGGAGGCATCCCAAAACGTACCCCCCCCCCCTCCCTCCCATTTTGGGGAAACCTCAAACCCTGAACCCTAATTAAACCCCATATATATATATATCCCTATATAACCCCTATAAGCCTTTAACAGGTATACCCCCACCCTAAACCCTTAACCCTAAACCCTAAACCCTGAACCCTAAACCCTAAACCCAAGGACCCATATTTGGAAACACCCATGCTCTTCAGGTTCAACCCTGTTCGCAAGGTACAAGTTCCGGGCTTGTTCCTGTAGAATTATGTTGAAAGCCCGCTAGGGATAAGGGTTGAGGGAATTAGGGTTTAGGGATTTAGGGTTCAGGGTTTAGGGTTTAGAGATTTAGGCTTTAGGGTTTAGGGATCAACCTCCTGGAAATGTATTCCAGTGAACAGCTTTTGGTGGAAGAATTTTGGATCATTGCTAGAGGCACTCCAGAGTAGGGAATGATGTAACGTATCCGTGCCACGTGCTCCCCTACAAGTTGGGGTTTCCTAAAATTAGGGGTACCCTTTTTGGGGGTCCCCATATTAAGGATTATAGTATATTGGGGTCTATATTGGGGTCCCCTTATTTTGGGAAACTACCAAGTGGCTTCTATTTTCTTTTCCCTACCTTCATCCCGAGAGCCACCGCAAAGCCTAAACCCTACCATCTATACCCTAAAATAACCCCAAGATTACCCAAAGATAACCCTGATATAACCCTATTATCACCCTAAGATAGCACTAATTCAACCCTAATATAACCGTAATATAATTAGGGTTCTATAACCCTAATATAACCCCAAATATTAAGAAACACCAGCTTAATTCATTTTCCATTCTCGTAGGATCAGCTATCAAATGAGCCATAGTCTGAACCCCTAGTATCCCC